AAATCCAATCCCTTTAAATGCAGATGAGAATTGGGGGGAGTTTGGTCTTGGGTTGCAATTTGGAAGGTTGGATGCATTATTTAGAGGTTGAACATTAAAAGCAAGTCCACATTTTATGGGATTGCAATTAAATGCATGGTGTTAAAACTGTGTTTGGTAGGAGAAAAGAAGGAAAAAAAACAAAAAGAAAAATTATTTCTTTTCATCATTTATTTCGTTTCATATGAAAGAAAATGAGTGAATTTATACATTTTCCTTTCCTCAAAATTGGATTCGTATTATTTATAATTATTGTAGTATAATTAATCAATTATAATTGATAATTATAGATGTGAGATTGATCAAAATTTTATATGAAACTCATACTTATAAAGAACATATCACCTGTAATAATTGTACTATAATTAAATAATCAGATTTAGAGTTATGTAGATTCTAGCAAAATATTATGTGGAATCCACTCTTATAAGTGGTAGATCCTCACAAAATTCTTAATTATGATTAAACAATTGTAGTATTATAATAAAAAAATTATAGTTAAAATGCTCCCATACTTACAAACAATAATAACTAATCCTAATGAACCTACAAGGTAACCAAGATTTTTTTTTTCTTTTCAAAAAGCCCAAAATAATCCGATACATATTGCTGCAGATCCAATTTTCATCCACCTTACCATCTTGCTAAGCTCCACTTTATCATCACCAAAAATACCCTCAACACTACCTATTAAAACACCAACATTAAAACAATCCATATTACGTAATTATCAAAAACCAAGCTCATTTTCAAAACCATAAATAAATATAAGAACAATGATGTGAAACAAATTAGAATTTCAACTGCCTACAATTAATGCACTAAAACTAAAATCAATAAAAAATCATATTACATTGCTATCAAAAACCAAATTCATATATTCACACCAGTAATGTAAAAATAATAATAAGATGAAACCAAATTAAAATTTCAACAACCTACAATAAAGCCCTAACTTTCATGTACAAGTCTCATAACTGAAGTAAACCAATATGAAAATGAAAGGACATTTGGAGATGATGACAAATTAATGTTTATAACTAAATAAATCCGTAGAACCAATTTACGTGGCTTTTTTTCAATTAATAATTTTTAAAATTCCATGGAGATTTTAACCTAAATCAAAGTATGAAGGATGAAAAACAAAAATAATCTCTCTTAAGGCTAGAGTAAGACTAATAATCAATCTCAATACATGATTACAATCAACTAATCAAATATATCATTAAAAAATAAAATACATCAAGAAATTTTCATTTTTCATTTTGTTCATTGATTCATGCTGTGTTTTAGAGATACTTTATTTTCATTGTTGATCATTCGTTGCTTGTTTGTCCTTAGTAATTGAGATTTGGATTGTTACTTGAAACGTTGGATGCATTATTTAGAGGTGGAACATTAAACGCAAGTCTGCATTTATAGGGGATTGCATTTACTGCATGGCGTTCAAACTGTGTTTGTAGAAAGCCAAACTAATTGTTGAAAGAGACAAAATTATGATGCGTTAACATCCCAGCATTTGGGATTTGAAACGATTTCACATTCGAATTTTAGGATATGTACAAAAATTTTAGCAGATGGGAGAGGTTTATCTCTCATTGTGTGATCAAAAATCACATCTAAAAAAGGATATAATAATAATAATAATAATAATAATAATAATAATAATACTTTTAAAATTTTTTACAAATAATTATAAAATGTTTGCAAAAAAAAAAAAAATCGTTCATATGATCAATTGCTTTTATATATTTTTTCCCTGAAAGGATAAAAGTATGCGTGTTAATTAATCCCTCATCTTTTTTTTTAATCTAACTCATAAAAAAAGAAGTAACAATAATCTATATTATTATATAAATATGGCTTGGGCCTTAGGGTGTGAAATTTTTATAAAATCTAGCTTTTTGAACGTTATGTTGCACATGATTTATTGTGTTATTTATAAAAAAAAATCATTTAACTTACATAATAAAATAAACATATAGACACAATTATATTAAAGAAAAAGAAAAATTTTACTTATGAAAGATCAAGTTTGAAGGAAGGGATACCCATCACTTTTATTTTATTTTTTTGATAAAATGCCAATTTCTACCGAGAAATTTTTTTAAAAAAATTCGCTTATTGGAAGTCAAAGCCAAAGAGAATAGTTTTTCTGTATGTTATTCCATTAACATTTAAATAAAATATTGTCCAATTTTTTTATTTTATCTTTAATGTCATAATAACTCTCCTACCATATACCTTATTTGGTTTTTGTTTTTCTTGAACTTAATGCAGATTAACTTTTGCTAATTAAGTTGGTTCTGTTCTACACTAGCACTATAAAGGAAGCAATTTAATTTAATTTAATTTAAACCTATTAATTAAATACATTAATTCGAAATTAAAAACTACAATGAAAAAATAACGATAATTAATTAATTAATTAAAAATCCTTAATCAGATATACATATCTATCAAAAACCAAACTCGCAATCATACCCGTAATCTAAAAATAATAATGTGAAAGCAAATCAAAATTTCAACAACCTAAGCACTATTAAAGCACTAAACGATAAATTATACATTAACCCCTATAGTTTTCATGTTTTTTTATTTTGATCACTTAATTACAAGAAAATCACAATTTGATCAACAACATTTTTTAAATTTAATTATTGGTTATTAAGCTTTTAGAGGCTAAAAGCTAATTGACCTGATTTTTGGCGTCATCTGGCATTCATAATCTGGCATTATTATGTCATCTAACATATCAAATGATATTATCAATATAAAATTATAATTTTGTAAAAATAAATTTTGGATATTAAACAAGAATAATGATATATTTGATCATTTAACTTTTCAAAAATTTAAATTTTGATAATTCAACTTTTAAAAATTACAACTCGATTTCCACGTTTGTGAAATTTATTAATATTTTTATTTTCATTCTCAACATCTCATCTTCGACGTGTGATTACAAGGATTTTATCACATTAGGTCCTTCACTCCCTGAATGTATGATTAGGGGTGTAAATGATACATTAGTACTCGCAAGCTATTCAGATTCGATTCGAAAAAAATTCAAATTCGGTTCGATTATTATCGAGTCGAGCTCGAGCTCGAATAGCTCGACTTATTGATCGAGTCGAATTCGAGTATTCTTATATCCGATTTGAGTAGCTCGCGAGCCTAATCGAGTTTTTATATTTAAATATATTTTTATTATTTTAATTAATAAAATATTTTTAGTCCGAGTTCGAGTTCGAGTTCGAGCATAAATAATCAAACTTTTGTCGAGTATCTGAATCGAGCTTATTTTTACATATTAATCGAGCTTAATCAAGCGAGCTCGAGTAGCTCGAATTCGATCACGAATCAAACTCGAACTTGAAAAATAAAATTCGATCGAGCTCGAGTTTGAAAAATAAAACTCGATCGAGCTTGAACCAAGTATCGAACCTCGAGTTGTGAGTCGAGTTCCAACTCAAACTTCTCACTATTCGACTTGACTCGGCTCGATTACACCTCCACGTATGAGCGCCTTCCCACCATGTTTTCTCTAACATGGAATTAATTGTCAAAGAGTTGTAGATATATTAGACTCTCTAGGCTTTTTTAGTTACGTTTGGTCCATGAAAGTATGGTCTCCATGCAAATTCTACTAGCCCAAAGACATTGGGCCTATTTGGGATTGGACTCTCATTCAACAACCCAATTCTATAATTAATAAATTAACAAATTAACTTGGGCTCTTTCTTATAAACTGAAAATTTAGTGATGAATAATTAAGTATTAAATTTTTAATACTGATTTTGATAAGTAATGAAATTGAATTATAAAATTTATTTGGCATTTTTATTGAAAATTAAATTCTGAATATAAATATATTGGCTGATAACTGTAAAAAATTAAATTATAAAAATTTATCATTTATCATTTTTATTTTTATTTTCATTGCAGTGTTTTATAATATTGATCACCCAAGTGTTCATAATAATAATATTTATATTATTATTATTATGAACATACCCAAAAAGTAGAAACAGTAAATATTCAACAACACAAATACAATGAATTACCTAAATTTAAGCACATGACGTCCAGCCAAATTGTGGACCATTAACAGAATCTCAAACCTAGCAAAGCGATTCAATTAACATAAAGAAACTTCCAAGACCATTTCTGTTACATGACCACTCATAGTATCATTTCCCTTTTAATATAATGATAGTGCAACCATGCAATGTCAAAAGAAGATCAAAGGATGAAGAAAATCCAAGTCCCAACAACTAGTGCTAGATGTTATTACATTCATATTACTCAAATCTATTGGCAATTTACTTAGCAAGACAATAAATAGGCACAATAATTTTAAAGCTCCCACAATTTTTTTTTTTTCAAATGTTGCACAACATGCCAGTGCCATTCTTGCATGGGTTGGTTACCAAATTAATTATTAACATGTAACCCGACTCTAACTTGTTACTCTAACAAGAGAGATGTCTGACAGGTCACAAACACATCTAGAAGAGTTAATTACATGTGAGAAATCATGGATCACCATCATGACTCATAAGCTTGCTAGCCAACATGTTTTGCCGGATTCTGAAATATGCAAAGTAATGGCCAAGTTTGTAACTAAAGTGTGCTCAATGAATTATTATTGCAAAATCTGTCTCTATCGGATGGGCAATGAGGGGTTATCTTCCTTTAAAATGTTCTCCAAATATGCCTTTCATTAATTGAAACAGCTAACCGTTAGTGAAAATGTGAGTTTGCTCAACTGTACACAAGATATAGGTAACAAGTGCACACATAGCCCTAGAACACTTTAACCAAAAATGGATTTCTCTTAACAGCATGTCTCACTGGTTAGCATCGCTAGTTACCAGTTAAAGCCCGTGGTCGATGCTCAATAGTAAATAAAGACATCCCAGTCTGTGCAACTGCTTTCACAAATGCCATATTTACCGTCAAAGTCGGAGCATGCCAGTAATCTCAGTTCCAAACACAATCTTGTTTTTAAGTGCCAGCTTTCTTGTAGTTGGCAGGCCTATCAGTCGTTCAGAGGGCCTATCTCGCACAACCCTGTTAAAGTTTAGACATGGAAAAATGTCAGAGAAAAGTCAAATTCTACATCCAAGAAAATCTGGAATTAGGACCAATTTTGATCTATACAGATTTAGAAACTAAATAACCAAGAACAGAAATTATTGTCACATTTTTTAAGTTTCTTAACAGATAGAGGTTTGTTTGGTTTTACTTTACCTGTTATCCTCGTTTTTAAGCATCAGGGATTCCACTAATTCTAGAATTGCTGGAACTTACAGATGTTGAGTCCAAGAACACTAAGTTTTACTTATGCGTACAGGCTTTTGTCATGGTTTAGCAATTGTTTTAAGTCAATTTTGGTGGCTGTATATTTGGTTGTAGGAATAAGATTCTTAGATCTCTATAGATATAAGCTAGTAACTTATTGCATCAAACGGGAACTATTTCTTGTGATTTTCTAGCACTGCACTTTGCCCTCTAAATCAATAACTTTAGAATTTCGTCATGTAACTCCTATGAAAACCTAGGTGCGAATCTTAGTATTTGTCTTCTATATTAAAATTGCTGCAGCTTTAATTGAGATTTCAGATTTGACACCAGATTTAGTGCCAGTTTGATTTGCTACCACCAAACCTAAATAAATCATATGCTTAAATCCTTAGACTCGCAACTACACCCTTCAATATATTAGTAAGAGTTGTCAGAGAATCACAGGAGGCATTTCAGTAGGTGATCAGCTCTGTGCTTCTCATTAGCTCCTCCACACATCAATATTAGCTCCTTGAACTCTGAAAGAACACTTTCACATATTATGCCTCTCTTTCCGGATACAGCAGCACGCAGGTCAACATGTATTGGGTTCAGAATTTCAGACATTGCCTGTCAAGAGGTACATGTTACTCCAACTGAGATCAAAGTCTAATATAAACTATCCATTAAAAAGGTATAGAAACAAAACATCAATAATGCTAATAATAACAGAGGTGAAAGCCAGCATCACAAAAAAACTGATATTTATTCAAAAAAAAAAAAATTTACAAGTCATTCAAAATCACTTTTGCTTTACCCTCCTTGTGGGAAGGCAGTTGAGGGAGATATGTCAAGTAAAACGTAGACATTAATGTAGCAAGCATATCAGAATTAACCCGCATGGTTTTATATTAATAGTGGGCTATAATTTAAGGGACTAGTTACTTAAATCTATAATAATGGTAGGAAAGGCAATAAGGGTTTGTAATTCATTGGCGTAGGTTAAGATTTGATAAAAAAAATGGTAGCTGGAATTGATAGTTCTGGTTGCTTAAAATTTTGCACAGCAGCAGAAAATAATCAAATGGATATCTTTTGAATACTGAATTAGCAGGATTCAGTAGGAAAATACATGGATAATATAGCATGCCAAGGGTACAAGATTTTGTGATACAAAGAAGATGAAGGTTACTCGAATTATTCTTTTCTATGAACTAATTCGAGGTACTACCAAAGATTTAAATTGCAATAACAGTCACGTTTTCGATCGCATCGTATTTGTCACGGTTGCGGATATAACAGAGACCTTCGCGGTCATTGCGGTCATGAATTTTTTTAAATTTTGCTCAACTTACTATAAAATATAATAATTTTAATTATTAATCATAAAACCTCTTATTTTATGATTTTTAAAGTAATTTATATCATATCATGTGTTTTATTTATTTAAGAAAAAATATTTATAGTAAAATATTCATATTTAAAAAATTATTTATATGATAATTAAAAAATAAAAAGAGATAAATAAATATGTGAAAAATAAATAATCATAACGAATAATATATTTAATTATTTAATTACCGTACTCATCAAATTATTACCGAATTATATTATGCATAAATCAAATAATAAGTTATTAGATATTCATAAATTAAGTAAGAGCATTATTATTTATGAGTCAAAAGAATTGTTTTTTATGAACTTACAATAAATCAAACTTGATAGCCTCTATGTTATGGTCGATTTTCAACAATAATAACCTCAAGTCTACTTCTCTTGTCTCTTGACTAAATTGCACAGACCCACACAACTTCTTATCCCTTCACCTTGCATTCAATAATTTTTTTTCTCCAAACTTTCATCCTCATCCCTATCTCTCAGTTTTTTTTTTTATTTGGTGTGTGCTATCTGCTTGCTTCTGTAAACCTCAAGTTTCACTCTCATTTCTTATCTCTTATTTTAAGTCCCAGCAACTTTTGACTCTTTCTATCAATGTAATATAACACAATCTAATCCCAAACACACAAAATCATGACAAATTTGAAAATTAAAAAAAAAAGATAATTTGAGTGTTGAATTAATTGTTTACTTTAAATTGCATATACTTGATTTTGATTGAAGTTGAACTTGAGAGAATTGATTTTTTTGAAAGTTTAAGTTTTGTGGGTTTTTTTTTTCCGAATTTGTAAATTTATGTTTATTTTCTTTCTTGTTGTTTTTATTTTAAGTTTTTAAACAAAATTAGATGATTTTTTTTTTGAATTTTTGAATGAAAATAGGAATAGCGGCAATAGCAGTAATACCGGGCAATAACGGACCGCTATTGCCGCTATTCACTGTTATACTGCAATTCACAGCCGCGATTCATCCGCTATAAAACGAGATTCAAGTTCTCTCCCGTTTTTTCTCCAATAGCGGTGGCGGATAGTGGCGCGACCGCGAAATAATGGCCGCGACACCGCTATCCGACAGCTATTTGAATCCTTGACCATAAATCCAATTGAGAAAAGAAAGAAGAACAATTCCAAACCAGCAACAAGCTTACTAAGTTGTCAAGGAAATCAACCACAACACAATTGCAGAATAGACATTACTTGGGGTAAGACTTGCCAATCATATGACTTCCATAGACACTTTCAATTAGAAGAAAAATATCTCCTTCAATCGTTAGATATGTAAGGATCATAGAAGTAGCCTCAGATTTCCAAAGATAAGTACATTTTTTAACCACAGCAACCATGAGCAATGAGTTGCCATTACTAATAGCTTCATTAGTGAATGTTGGGGAAAAAGAAAAACAGAGAAGGTATAAGAAGGCTTTTTTTACTTTTGTCCCAACGGAGAAAGAAGAAGAATGACTGCATAGATTAGTACACATGTAATGACCATATTTCCATGAGCATTAACTAGACCTGCTCTACCCAGAGAATGGTCAACATGAAAATTGCATATTTTCATTTTTTTTTTTTATGTTTTTGGGTTGGGTGAAGAGATATCATTAACCATCTGACTTTGCCACAGTGAACCAACTCCTACCATTATAATTAATTTCAAAAGAAATATTCCTTACCGTCATTCCTCATATTTAAATTAACGTATAGCCCGACACATGAGCCAATGCAAACAAGAGATTAACAAACTGTAATCCACAAATAGACAAAAATTTCTTTATAATTTTTGTACAAAAATATATTGAACCTTCAAGAAACATGACTTTCAACTTAAGGATTCATGCCTAGAAACTACTTTAGGCTATCTAACTTCCATGGGGGTAATACAAAGACAGGAGGAAGAGATCTTAAGTTATCCATATGGATCAACTTGCATCATCAAGATTCTTAAAATTATGTGGCATGAAGCAATAGGAAAAACATAACTTGAATGAAAGTTTTACCTGGGCAATCACAAACTCACAATTTCCCTTGAACCGATTTTGCAGTTCAACCTGTGGTTTATTCAAAAGTTCCTCTGCACAACCATTGCTGATTCCTGACACAACAGCTATCAAAGCTGTTGTATCAAAGTTTATAAAATCATTCTCACCGGAAAAATCCACCGCCTTAGTAGATTCCACCTTTTTCATTTGTGAAAGAAGAGCAGAAAAATAATGGCCTAAGCCTAATTTTAGATTCACATTCCCTCCTTGATGCTCAGGGGTAAAAACATATGCAAACAAATCTTTCGTCCCATGTTCAGAACTCATGACATCATTCACAACACAATGAACCTTAATTTCAAGAAGACATGCCTCCTTATACGACCATGAAATTACGTTAACCCATTCGCCATCAATTTCTTCAATGAAATCAAAATAAGAGTCAGACAACTCCAGTGCTAGCTTGGAGACCCCAAATTCGTCCATAAGCTTCTGATGGATAAAGTTGGTGAGACCATTTGAAAAGAAAAGGACAATAGAGAAAGGTCTTAAGGTGTTGGTTGACCGTGCTGCATCAAGGAATTGTTGGATTCTAGACTTAAAACCCTTGGTTTTTTACTATCAGAAACAATAATCCAAACTGGATTTTTCTTGAGAGTACATACAATATGGATATGGATGGGATTGGAAGAAAAATGGGTTTTATTTTTATTTGAAAATGGAAGGGGAAGTGGCTTGCAAACACGGGAAACCGCAGTTATAAAAGGCTGTTGAAGAATATGGACAATGGCTTCCAGGTGCCCAATGTTGACACTGTTCATTCAAAACAAGAAAATGAAACCTTTTTGTTGTTGTTGAAACTGAAAAAGACAGATACAGAGAGCTAAATGTAAACAAGGTTAGAAATATTGATGGTGAAATTAAGAGAAAGAAGAACCTGAGAGAGTGAGAAGAGGCTGTAGTGGGAAAGCGAGAGAGGAAAGAGAGCTCGGAATGGGCCAACTTCGAGAGGGTATGCTTGCAAGTGGAATTGAAATTGAGGGTGATGCCCAAAGATTCTATTTTCTCTATCAATACTCGACATCTCCGCTTCACCGCCTCCACCTCCTCCTCCATGCTCCACCTCTTCCGATTACCTTGATAATTCATGCCAACTACCCCAACATTTTTTAAGCTTGGATCAAAACCTTATTATTACTACCTAATTTACAAATGTAAAGAAGACAAAATTATACTAACTAGTACTGGGAACAGATTTTTTTTTGGCAGTAAAGTAGCGGGAAGAACAAATGGATGGTAGAATAAAATGGCTTCTCCAAATTTTGGTTTTAATGAATTAGTTGATAGAATCGATTTAATTTGATTAACCGCTTCGGCATCAAATTAATTTCAGACAATTATAAAATTTAATTTTAAAAAATTGAATTTTAATTAATTTAATTTAAAAATCAAATTAATCAAAACAAAATAAAATATATATAATTAAAAATATATTAATTACTCATTTCATTTCAAGTTATTAAAATTTTTAATTTAATATTTTGATTTTTAAATATTTTTATTAAATGATTTTATTTAATTTATCTTAAATATTAGAATTTAAATTATAATTTAATTTAATATATTTTATTATTTGATTAATAAAATTGAATTAATTTTTTTCAATTAATTTTTAAGATTAAAAAATTTAATTCAATTAACAAAAATAAAATAATATAATTCAATTAATTTAATTTTAGATAATTGATTCAAAATTAATCGACTAAATGAACTCTTTTATTTTTATATACCAACCTATTTAAAGAGTTCAATGATATATGTTAATACAAATTTATATATGATATATTTTTTAATTCTTTATTTAGAGAATACAAATTTATATATGTATATATATATATATATATATAAATATTATTTTCATAACGTATTTTGTTTTTTTTATTAATATAATTAGTTAGTTGATTGAGGTAACAAAAATATTTAATAAAATTATGAAAGTGACAAAAAGTATTAAGTCATTGTTATTTTAAATTTTTTTTTATTTTTGAAAATAAAAGATAAAAAATAATATTTTTTAATTTAGAAATTAAAAAAATAATATTTTTTAATTTAGAAATTAAAAAAATAAAAAAATAAATTGATCAATAGATTTAAGATAATCAGAGTCAATCAATTTATCTAAAATAATCGATGATAGATACGCCTTAAATTAGATAGAATCCAACTAAATCGACATCGTCTAATTTAAGGTAAATCAATTTTGACATGCACCAAAATATTCGATCAAAAATCAGTCAATCTTTCTTCTCTATTTTTTTTACTTCTTTCTTTCTCCTTTTTTTTTTTCCTTGATTTTTTAAATCTTATATATTTTTTATTTTTTTAGATTTTAATTTTTTTAAAGCTTTTTTCAAGATTTTGAGTTTTTTTAAATTGACAAATTTTAAAATTTTTTAACGTTTTTAATTTTAAACTTAGGCCTGAAATTTGATGAGGCGAGCCTGGATGCAAGGAGAGTTCAGCAACGTGATCGACTCAAGAAAGAGAAGAAGGTTCTTATAATTTTTTATGATATTTGGGTGACAATGGATTTGGAGGTTCTTGGGCTTCCTTATAGAGGTGAGCACATGGGATGCAAGATTTTGTTGACATCAAGAAATTTCAATGTTTTATCCTCGATGGGTATTCAAAAAACCTTTTGCAATCAGCATTTTCAAAAACGAAAAATCATGGAACCCGATTAGAAACATGGTTAGTGACATTGTTGAAAGATCTGACCTGTATTTTACAACAATTGAAGAGGCCCAAAAATGTGCAGAACTTCCAATCGCCATTGCAACAATTGCAAATACTTTGAAGAATAAGAAAACTTTGTTTGAATCGAGGAAAGCTTTGCAAGAGCTAAAAAGGCCTTCTTTCAGAAACTTCAAAAGCAAACAGGGTGACATATATGCAACAAAGGCCGCAAAAGTTTCGGTTTGGGCAGATTCCGGTCAGGTTGAATTATTATTTGGATCACTTCGGCTCTTAGTTGATTTCGGATTTAAATCATTTTGAGTGCGGATTATTTCAAGGTCAAATTATTTTGAGAATAATTTTTTTCCAGTTCATATTGCTTTTGAATCCGGATTATTTTGAGTTTAGGTCATACCCAATGCAATTTAAGTAGTTTTGGACTGAATTCAAGTCAATTAGGTATTAATCCAATTTCATGTAATCTTTTTGGTGAATTAAATTTAATGGTTTTACTTGTTTAATGTTAGTAACAAATTCTTGTTTTAACTTTTAAAAATATCAAAATTATTTAGATATAATATTAATTTAATTTAAAGAATTCACTTTTTGAATAACAAATAACACAAATATATAATAAAAAAATAAAAATGACACAACAAATCATGTAGCAAAGATCTTACAAGAATAATCTTTATTACTTTATAAAATTACGTAATTAAATCAAATCAAATCGATCATTTATTAAGTTTAAATTTGTCTTAATTTAAAAGCTTGAGGTTTAAAATTTAATTCAAATTCAATTGAATTTTAATTTTTACATTAAAACTCAATTTATTATTTATTCAAACAATTCAAATTCGATTTGATAAGAATAAGTAAAATTATAAAATACAAAAATTAAATATTATATTTTTATTATTTATTTATATATGAATATTAATGTATTAAAATATATTTTAAAAAATAAAGATTCAATTATTATGTCTTTTAGCAATTGAAAGAGCAATTGCATGATCACCGAATGCTATATACTTTATTATTATGCCTTCTAGATAAAAAATAAAAGAAAAATATGAACACAAAACATTCAGAGAGAAATAAATCACGTCAGGCTGTTCATTGGATCGGAGAGAAACCAAAAGGATGGACTTAAAAAAGTATTTTTATAGTTAGCATTAGCAGAGTTAAAAAGTGTTTTTAAGCACATGAAACTTAAAAATAAGTGAACCATTTGGAATAAATTGAAAGAGCAGCACAAAACCATTAGCAGGTTCCCCAAGATTCCATTAAACCATCAAAAGTTTTGGCTAATTCTTTAAGCAGGCAAATTTACTCGTCGAGACATAGGTTGCAGGTTCATGTTTAACCCCACCACATGCTAGACACTAACCTTACTCTTGCCCCCCTCTCATCAACGTGTAACACATAAACAGATTAAATTAAACATTATAATACCAATGCATGAGGAATCATACATATAGTGAAGATATATTTATATTTCAAGACCTGTTATGTAAGCCACATTCCTCCAACACGCACAAAATTGACAGCCTAGCCATGACTCCTTTATCTGTTTTTCATCAACACCTAATTCAATCACTCAATCACCTCAATTTGCTTTCCCACCTTACTGTAGTTACACAAACCAATATAGCTACTAATACTTTCATAATATCGTAGCAAGATCATATGTTCCATCAATTGAAAGTTAAAAGACCAGCAGAGCTTTAACTGTTCTGTTCATAAAATCTTATTGACAATCCTAGTTTAATATTAAGGATAAGATACTGTTACAATAAAAAAGACAAAACATATCTCTCTTGATTGCTCATTTCTGAGTTGTGCCAACCTTTAAGCCAGCCCAATAGTTTACATCGAGCAGAGCAATAAAAGCAACAAAGGTATTCCTGCTAATAAAGCGTAGGGTGCAGTATGATCACTACTGCATCACTATCCTCTGGTCAAGACAATATACTCAATAAACTCAGCAAAATTCACATTCTTCTTTTGTAGTTCAGTTCACTTTGCAACTAAATAAGTCTAAATGGCAACATAGTTAAATTTCTCTATTTAAGGCTAAGTAAATCAAGTTAAATTTGTACCATGAAAACAGCTACAAGTTTAATCTGATTAACAACTGTGTCATAAGGCTAGGTTGTTTGGCTCTAGTTTTTGCAGATTCTGTAAAGGTCTAGTCAACAAACAGTTGTAATCCATCGGCAGGAGGGGAGAAAAAAAGATGGTTAAGTTGTATTGTTGTTTATTAGAACCCATGAAGATGTGGAAAGTATGTTTAAGGAAGATTTATCAGTACCCTTATGCTTCTAGTGTAATTAATGTTATACAGACGTGATCTAACTTGTCATACTTAACTTTCTTTTATACTTTGGATGAAAGTTTGATTCATTACATTGCACATGCTCTGTGTGCGTTTGCATACTTATCCATCTGTAATCCATTTGTACAAACATATCCAGAATATAGAAACAATAAATACTCAGCATCACAAATACAATAAATTACCTAAATTTAAGCAAATAATGTCCAGCCAAATTGTGGATCTTTAACAAATCTCAAACATAGCAAAGCAATTCAATTAGCATGAAGAAACTTCAATTTCCTTTTTTGTTACACGACCACTCATATTATCATTTCCCTTTTTATATAATGATAGTGCAATCATGTGATTAATGTCAGAAGAAGATCAAAGGAAGAAAATCTGAGTCAGACCAACTAGAAATAGAGGTTAT